CTAACACTCAATGGAATTGTTAAAGAGAATATTAGACACAGCTGAAGAAATAATTAATAAGAGGTAACTTAAATCTAAGGAAATTGCACAGAAGGCAAGATAGAGAATCAAAGTAAAAAACAACATGAAAAAGAAGCTAAAAAAAGTGGAAAAGAGAAGGAGAAGGTCTAAAGTAGTTCTAATATGAGTTTTAGAAAGAAAGTGGAAAAAAAAACAGGAAAAAAATTCAAAGAGACAATATCTTAAGTTTTCTCAGAAATGGTAACAACTGACCTCTCTTAGATTCAAGAAGAAAAGCCCAAACAGGATTAGCAAACATTTTCCCATTCCCAGCATAGGAAAGTTGCATTCAGTAAGTTGCTACAATAATTGGTTATTCTTTTGGAAAAATAAAATAAAACGAGATCCCCATTTAAGACAGGTTGGAGTGCGGCAGCACTCCCAGGGTCAAGGGATCTTCCCACCACAGCCTCCCTGTAACTGGGGCTACAGGTGGGTACCACCATGCCTGGTTAATTTTTTTGTATTTTTTATAAAGATGAGGTCTTGCTATGTTGCCCAGACTGGTCTTGAACTATTGGGCTCAAGCAATCCACCCACTTCAGCCTCCCAAAGTTCTGGGATTACAAGCATGAGCCACCGTGGCCAGCCTAAAAGATAGCATTTAAAAATCAAAAGATGTTTCTTCTGGGGTCTCTGTTCTGTTCCATTGGTCTATGTCTCTGTTGAACAACGAGAACATGTGGACTCAGGGAGAGGAGCATCACACACAGGGGACAGTTGGGGGGGTAGGGGAGAGACAATGAGGAGTGAAGAGGGATAACAAGAGGAGAAATGCCAGATATAGAATGCACCTAAAGTAAAATAAATTTAAAATAAAAAAAGGTAAAAAAATCAAAAGATAAGCCACAGATTGGGAGAAAAACGATTCATGACCAAATATTATAAAGAACTTCTATAAATCCTTAATAACATAAGCAATCTAAGAAATAAGTAAAAAAGATAAAATTCTCAGAACACAAAACCTAAATGGCCAGTAAGTATATAAAAAGATGTTCACCCTCAGTTACAACAAGGGAAATTCCTAACAAAACAATAAGATATTCTAGTTATACTCAGCAGATTGGAAAAAATAAAAAATTCTGATGATAAATTTTAGTGAGAGAGGCAGCAAGGGAACACTGCTAGCGGAGCCTATAAATTAGTATTAATACAATCACTTTAGAGAACAATTTGGCCACATCCAATGAGGACAGGTGTACCCTATAACCCAGCAATCCTACTGCTACATATATATTCCTAAAGAAAGTATTGTCCAAGAAGATATGAATAATTGTAAAATAAGATTTAATATGATATTTTTAAAACTAAAAAAATTTGAAATAATCAATCAATATAAGAATGGCTGAAAGATATTCTGATTTACTCACCCAATGAATAACAACTATTGGTGAAAGTGAATACAGCTAGATCTGTCAACACGGATAAATCTAAAAAACATACCGCTAAACAACAATAAAAGTGTTTTTGAACGTTTTAAGAAGGAATATGTATATTATGATACAATTTATATAAAAATTAAAGCTGGAGAGAGGCTTGGCACAGTGGCACATGCCTGTAATCCCAGACTTTGAGAGGCCGAAGAGGGCAAATCACTTGAGATCCGGAGTGATCTAGCCTGCCCAAGGTGGTGAAACATTGTCTCTACTAAAACTACAAAAATTAGCTGGGCATGGTGGAGCATGCTTGTTATCCCAGCTACTCAAAGGCTGAGGCAAGAGAATCAATCACTTGGAACTCAGGAGGCAGAGGTTGCAGTGGGCCAAGATCATGCCATTGCACTTCGGCCTGGCAAAAGAGCAAGACTGTCTCAAAAACAAAACAAAAAAAGGAATGGCTGAAAAGTTTGTGGATTTATTCACCTAATAAATAACAACCATCAGTGAAAGGAAATAAAATAGAACCAGATCTGCCAAAATGGGTATCTAAAAAACATATCGCTAAACAGCAATAAAAGTGTTTTGAACTTTTCAAAAGTAGGGATATGTATAGTATGATACAATTTATATAAAAATTAAAACATGCCAAAGATAGCATAATTTTAAGGCCATATATTTATGTATATATATATACATTATGTGTGTATATACATAGACAGAGTAAAAGTATAAAAGCTTGAGAGGGAAGGAGGGTGGGAAGTAGGTTTCACAAGGGACTTCAATTATGGTTGTAATAATCTTATATCAGATGATCAGTGCAGTAGGTATTCATAATACTATCACCTATACTTTTCAATGTATCTATAATATGTCATAATGTTGAAAACTAAAAAATATGCGAATATCTTTACCTACATTCTTTTTTGTTTTAATGAGATGCATGCTATGGTGAATCATGAGCAGATCCCAATACCCATGTTCTTTAACATGAAACTTTAAAACAGTTTCTAAATTGTGCTGAAGAATAGGCTGGTATATATGTCTGGGCCTGGTGAAGATATTAGAAACAGAGAAGATACATCTGTAACTTCTTGGGTTATTGGTAAATGAACCATTTCTAACTTTAAATCATTTGATATTGAAGAAATAGATGTTATAAAAAAATGAGATCATGTCTTTTGCAAGCACATGGATGGAGCTGGAGGCCATTATCCTTAGCAAACTAATGCAGGTACAGAAAACCAAATACCACATCTTTTCACTTATAAGTGGGAGCTAAATATGAGAACTCATGCACACAAAGAGAGTAACAAAAGACACTGGGCCCTATGTGAGGGTGGAAGATGGGAGGAGAGAAGGGATCAGAGAAAGTAAGTATTGGGTACTAGGCCTAATACCTGGGCAACAAAATAAAGGTACGACAAACCTCTATGACATAAGTTTACCTATATAACAAACCTGCAAATGTACCCTTGTCAGATACAGTGATGCAGTGAGCTCCTCTTCAAAGGTTTAACTTTTAACTTCCTTATTCTTTGTTCTCAAGATAAACTTCCTAGTCCCTTCTCCCAAGTTATCTGCTCTGCTGTGAACTGTCCCTCCCTGAGCCAAAATGGGTTTTCTGTGACAAACCTATCTGCCTTTGTCATGCCCTGAGATGCCCAAATATGCTTTGTAAGTTTGGTTTCTCTTCAAACTCAACTTCCTGGCCATAAGTTGTAATAAATTTACCCAACCCCCACATTACTCATCCTTTTCTCTACTTCAGCCTTCAAAGCTTTCATTTTACTACCTTATTTAGATTTAAGTTTTAGGCAATCAGGATCAGCTTAGAGTGTGCAGCCTGACCCCAGCCAATAGGGAAAGGACACAGAAACAAGAACTGCATTAGGAATGAAAACCCCTTCTCTCCTTTGTTTGGTGTGCTCTCACAGCAGCCAGAGGTGCAAACAGCACCCTTCTGCAGAAGCACATTTGTCTTGCTGAGAAATCCTTTGAGTGCTCATTTTCTTTGCGACTCGAAGCCCTTGTTTCTAACACCCTGAGTCTAAAATAAAATACATTACTTATATTAAGAAAATATCTGGGTTTATGCATTTAGATTACTTAAATTTTCCCAGTCCCCACCCTGCAATGATAAAATAGAAATTGAACCTTTTAAATGAATTTATTCAAGAACCTATGCAGGCTTCTCCCACAGACAAGGGGAACACACTTCCACCTAAAATAGTTATTAATCACACTATGCAATGTATTTATGTATGTAAATATTTTCTCTTTTCATCTTAAAAATCATTTCAAATAGCTGAATCTATACAGTGAATATAACGAATTCAGTTTCTTGGGGTAAGACAAAGAATTTAGAAAATCATCACCCACAAGAACTTTACAAAATGATTTACAAAACCTTTCATCCAAATCTGAATCTATACAGTGAATATAATGAATTCAGTTTCTTGGGGTAAGACAAAGAATTTAGAAAATCATCACCCACAAGAACTTTACAAAATAATTTACAAAACCTTTCATCCAAAGATGACAGTTGCATGTTTTCCAACTACAGAATATCAAGATATTTAAACAGCTCACTGCTAGAAATATATGGGTAGCAAATCACATCAGCATCTGAATCATATCCATGAGCTCATTTATATTTGTCCTAGCATTCTCCAGTCACTAACGGAGTCAGCATTAATCTTTCTTTATGGTCACTTTGTCATTCCCAAAATACATTTAAAAAACCACAATTGTGCAATTTCACAGCAACCTCATAGTCCCATATTAGTAATTTTCTTTGCATGCCCTCTCTCCATAGTTTTTAAGCAATTTGCTTATAAACTTCATGAAGAAGTGTTGCCAAATGTAGCAAATGTTATCAGGATCATGTCTGGAAATGACCCAATTCAAAGTATAATTGGACACTTATTAAACCAGCTTTTGTTAATAACAGAAGTTTTAGATGCTACTTATTTTGAACAGTCTCCCTGTGGTCAGGCCAATCCTGCAAAGACTAGAATTAAACCTTTTATTTCCATGAAGTCTTAGGAGCCCAGGAAGTTTTTTGATGAACTGGCTTGAAGTTTGGGAGTCTTCAGAAAGTAACTAACAGCAAAGCCTGTTTCAAGTTAAGTGGGACAGTAGGGGTCATACCAGAGGGAACAGAGCCCAGGGAGAAGTCAACTGTCATGATGGCTTCAGGGTCACTAGATCCAATCTATTTGAGATCATTACTGAGTAGAAGAGCTTTCTGGTTTTGCTTTTGTAACAGGTATGTAAGAAAGAAGTTAGCAGCCCTAGAATCAGTCAACTTCTTAGTGACTGGGGTCACATCAATCAAATATGACCAGTGCTTGAAGGTGCTCTAGAGGCTTAGCCAGCACTCTCATTTCACAAAGGACAGAATGTCATTCCAGGGAGGTCATGTGACCTGCCCAATTAAAGTAAAATCATAAAGCAATCAGCAAGGGTGCTGATGGCAGTAACAGGTTCTTCTGAGCTTCTCACTCCCCACCCCCACCCTCGCCCAGACATGATGTGATATGACCATGAGAAGCATCTCACCTGCAGGCTGCAACAGCCAAATGACAGACGTCCAAACTGGAAACAGTGACCATGGAAACATTTCTAAATATACACCTGGAGGAGGCATTGCAATTCTTTGATTAGAGAGATTGGTTAAGAAAAGTATCTGTCGACACAGGCTTAGAGAGGTAAACAACATCGGTTTTTTTCCCATTTGGAGATATGAAATGAGAGCCTGGAAAAGAAGTACCATTTATTGGCCAGGCATGGTGGTTCATGCCTGTAATCCCAGCACTTTGGGAGGCCAAGGCAGGTGGATAATTTGAGGGCAGGAGTTCAAAACCAGCTTGGCCAACATGGTGAAACCCCATGTCTACTAAAAACACAAAAATTAGCCAGGTGTACTGGTACACGTCTGTAATCCCAGCTACTCAGGAGGTTGAGGCAGGAGAATCATTTAAACTCAGGAGGCGGAGACTGCAGTGAGCTGAGATCACACAATTGCACTCCAGCCTGGGCAACAACGGAAGAGTCCATCTCACCGAAAAAAAAAAAAGTAGCATCCTTTTTAATGTTAGATGGACCCTGCATCTTGAGTTTAAGAAAGCACCATCCTTCAAAGTCTGGGGCTTGGGCTCAGAGATTACAGTGGGCTGAAGGCAAATATGGATTGACCCTGAGTTCCTCTGACCACACATTGGTAGACACGAAGTCCATGGGAAGTACCCTCCTACACAGACAGGATCGATCTCAGTCATGGCGCACCCCTCCTGGGCGCCTTCCTTTGCCCCAGTGCCATCAAATCTGACTCTGAACTGCCAAATTCACCCAGTTTCAATCCCCTCCACTTTTCTGCCACTCTTCGCTGACAGCTTCTCGGAAGATGGCTTATTCTCTCTTCCCTCTCAGGGAATAAATGTATCACTTCAATTGGCAGACTACTCTATGGTACACATTGTTCTAAGGACTTTACATGTATTAATATTTATGTCACTCTTCATGACAGCTCTAGGCTGGGCATGATTATGCCAGTAATCCCAGCACTTTGGGAGGCCGAGGTAGAAGGATTACTTGAGCCCAGGAGTGCAAGACCAGCCTAGACAACATAAGGAGACCCTGTCTCTATTTCATATTACAAATAATGGCTTTTAAAAATTCTATTAGGGGAATACTATTATCCCCATTTTACAGATGAGAAAACTGAGACCAAAGAGCTTATGGTACCAAATATGTATTTTAGCAGTAGTTTCAAGTGGTCTAGGGGATCATTTACCTGTTTAATATGTAACCCAAAGCAATGGTCTAATATTTTGGATTTCTTTCAGGTGATTTAGATGGAAAGGATGGTGTCACCACTGGCTTGTAAATGGACCAAAGGGGGAAAAAATTAGAAGCTGCTGATAGTCCTGTAATCTTATACAGATAGCTGTTAAAATTTGCCTATGTGTAGGGTTGACTTTGGGGGAAGTCTGAGTGTCTGTCTACTCTTGAGTTCTCATGTTGGTAAAGAATAAAAAGAACACAGCTTAGCTGGGTGCAGTCTCAGACACCTGTAATCCAAGCACTTTGGGAGGCCACAGCAGAAGGATCGCTTGAGCTCAGGAGTTTGAGGCCAGCCTGGGCAACACAGTGAAACCTGTATTGCAGCATTTTTTTAAAGTAGCTGAGTGTTGGAACAACTTGCTCAAGAAAAAAAGAATTAAAAAAAAATAGCTGAGTGTGATGGTACACACCAGCAGTCCCAACTACCTGAGAGGCTGAGGTGGGAGGATTGTGTGAGTCCAGGAAGTCAAAGCTGCAGTGAGCTGTGATTACATCACTGCACTCCAGCCTGGATGTCACAGCAAGACCCAATCTCTCTCTCTCTCTCTCTCTCTCTCTCTCTCTCTCTCTCTCTCTCTCTCTCATATATATATGTAAATATATATATATATATTTTCAATTAAATAAAAGCATAGATTCACATACACTTTTATACTAATCCTCAGGGAGAATTTCTAGCAGTTTTGAAAATGTGGCTAGAATATTCTTCAGACAAAAGAAAAATCCATAAATCATTTCTAAAATCTATTTTAATTCTGAGAACTCACATGATAGAAACAATTTCATTTCCCTTAGATACTGATTAGCATCTTGGTAATGTGTTAATTACTTTATAACCTGCCTGGTTCTAAAAAAGAATTTGAGCTACATTAGGTTCAGGTTTAATATATTATTCACTCTCTTAGCTCTACCTGTTAAATATTTGGGAGTTCAGTAATGAATCAACTAAGAATCTTAGTAGTCATACTGCAGGAAAAAAAAATCTATAGTCATTTATAAGTTATCTCCATAGTAACTCCAAAACAAAAAGATAAAATAATGAGTTTATAGGAGGAATGGAATATTTTACACAACCTTTTATGTGAATGGATTAACCCATATGAATCAATCACTTAATATTTCATTTATTTTGGATCACTAGCAAAACACTTCAAGCACTTAAATATAATAGAGTTAATTTTCTCCGTGTTAAGCATTTTAAGAACCTAAGCTCATCGGCTCTAAAGCTTAAACTAAAACTGAAAATCTGTTAAGTAATGCTTTTATCGGCACCTTCTTCCTCACAGATCACATGCACACAAGCAAGAGAGAAGTAGCCCAATCCAGCTTTATAAATGAGAGAAAAACCAGTTCTTATGTAAGAGGCAATGCACACCTCACCCAGTTACATAATTAAACCTATTTGGCAGGAGAAGTCTGACAAGACCGGAATACCCTGCTTGTTTGTAAGTGTTCCAACAAATGTAGGTACGGAAAAAAAAATCTATCAAGAGACATCAGTTCAATGTAGTCCAAAACCTTGAAGCAACATTTTAATGGACTGTGTCTGAATAAACTACCCACCAATTTGCATGGGTGTCTGTGTAAGGGAAGATCTTAATCCTCAAGGTATCATCCTACTGCTTTTTTCTTTTGAAAGTCTCTCTCTTTCTCTCTTTGAGACAGAGCCAGACTGTCGTTCAGGATGGAGTGTAGTAGTGTAATCATAGCTCATTGCAGCCTCGACCTCCCAGGCTCAGGTGATCCTTCCACCTCAGCCCACCAAGTAGCTGGAACCACAGTCATGTACCATACCACAGGGCTAATTTGGGGGGAATTTTGGTAAAGCCAAGGTCTCACTATATTGCCCAGGGTGATCTCAAACTCCTGAGCTCTAGGGGATCCTCCCACCTTGGCCTCCCAAAGTGCTGGGATTACAGGTATGAGCCATGCCCAGCCAAAGTCAACCTTTTCAAAAGTGAGTCTTCACTTACTATATCTCCTACTTTGCCCTCTGCAGTTGGGGGACTTGCATTGGTAACCAAAATGCTAAAGCTTTTCATTTCAGATGGCAAATCTAAGTGTCCCTTTCCCACTTGATATCTTTGCAGTATGTTACACTCTGCCTAACTTCCCTTCTCAAACCCTCATCCACAGATTCAATAGAAAGTTTAGAAACAAACCAGCTGGGGTTTAATTAAAGGCACAGAGAATTATAATTTGGGAGTGTCCTTGAATAAGATACTTAACCTTCTGAATCTCAGTCTCTTTCATCAACTATAAAAACGAGAATACTATTCCCTGCCCTCAGGAGACTGGTATGGATTAAATGAAATGAGTCAGTGAAGGCATCTATCATTAGGCAGTCAACAAGTTGTTAGTTTCTTTTCTCTCTGCAGTCCTGTTCTTGTTCCTGAGTCTTGGTCCCTAATTTTTATTTGCCTTCATTATAGCTCCACCTGAACTCCCAATTCCATTTGTACAAAGCTAAACTAACACACTCTTCCACTCCTGCCTGTACTCTCCCACAGCTGAAGTGGGGCTTATAGCTTTAGCCCTCTTCCCATCAACTGAGCCAGCATTCCATGTGTTATGAAATTAAATGGGGATATATGACCTAAGCACTTAGGATCGGAACATCTGTGAGGGATCCTCTGTCTGTGTCTATTAGTCACAGAAACTTTCCAGCATTCAGGCAAGCCTATCCAGAGCATCCTCCTGAATGTTTAAACTAATGGTTCTCAACTGGTGCGGTGGCTCAAACCTGTAATCCTACCACTTTGGGAGGCTGAGGAGAGCAGATCACTTGAGGTCAGGAGTTTGAGACCAGCCTGGGCAACATGGTAAAACCCCATTTCTACTAAAAATACAAAAATTAGCCAGGTGTAGTGGCAGGCATCTGTAATCCCAGCTATTTGGGAGGCTGAGGCACGAGAATCGCCTGAACCCAGCTGAGGCAGAGGTTGCAATGAGCTGAGATGGCACCACTGCACTCCAGCCCAGGCGATAGAGCGAAACTCTGTCTCCAAAAAACAAAAATAAAATAAAATAAAATAATCATTCTAAAGTGGGGTCTGCTGCCAGAAGCATCAGCATAACCTAAGAACCTTTTACAAAGGCATATTCTCAGCCCCTCCCAAGACCTACTGAGTCAGAAGCTCAGGGTGAGACTCAGCATCTTCCAGGCATTTTGGATGCATGCTAAAATTGGAGATCCACTGGCAAAAACAACCTGTTATCTTGGACCTTAGGAGAAGACAAATACTTAAATATTAGTGTACATGAACAGGAGTAATTTCAATCAGTACAAAACAATTTATGAAACAGAAATTATCTTAGTATACATTATTATTTTGCTGTAAGTTCTTACAAATCTTGATACTATGAAAACTAAAATATTCCCATTTCATATCCATGAATGCAAAATATTTAGAAAAAGACCGAAAAGTCTTTTAGTCTAGTGCTATGAAAAGACTATTCTTAAGAAACAAATGTAACATACATACATAACAGATTCCTACTTATACAACATTTTTTAAAAACTAACTTTAAGAATGGGACGGCTGAACCTGTTTTACATTAATTTGAAGTATCTTCTCTTGGTCTAACCAGCATGTGATACAAATAATCAGTGTCATTTCAAAATCCAGGATATGCAGAGAAAAAACTTAGCAACTTAAATATACTACATTAATTCCCGTCTTCAAAGTTATTAAGTTAAAATAATTGGTACACAGAATGTCTCTTGAGACTCAGGAAATCTCAGATCTAATTTCCACTAGTAAAACAAGGAAACATTAACAAGATAGCCACTGTTTGTTTTGAAGAAGAGTCTCGCTCTGCCACTCAGACTGGAGTGCAGTGACGTGATCTCGGTTCACTGCAACCTCTGCCACCTGTGTCCAAGCAATTCTGGGGCCTCAGCTGACAAGTAGCTGTAATTACAGGTGCACACCACTGTGCCGGCTAATTTTTTTATTTTTAGTAGAGCCAGGGTTTTGCCATGTTGGCCAGGCTGGTCTCAAACCCTTGCGCTCCAGTGATCCACCCACCTCTGCCTCCCAAAGTGCTGGGATTACAGGCGTGAGCCACTGCGCCTGGCCAAGAAGATAGATTTAAATTGCAGAACTGCAAATGCCTCCACAAGATAATAGGTCATATAACAAGAGCCAAAGCAACATCATCACTGAAGGCAACATGGAAATGTTGTGTGGGGCACCACCAACCACAGAAACACCCACAGCTCTGCAAAACCTATGAATGACCATCATCAATGAAGAGCTTCAGAGCAATGAAATGAAACAGATATTCATACCCACCTATTGTTTAGGAAGGCTTGGTTTTTTTCAAAGGATTATTATCTACGTAAAAAACAAATACCTTAAGAAGACTTTACCTTTTAAAGGTCATTTGGATAAGTTATTGCTGCACACAGAATTTTAAGATGCAAATAAATTAAGTACCATAGATGCTGAAAAGGTGACAATTGTCTGCTACATTGACACTACAAATTTTTATTACTATAGAATGACCATTACTACTGAATTTAAGTTACTGACAAGACACCTAATACATTTCAACTATGATTACTCATTGGTTATCCTGGCTGTATTCTAATGCCCTAGTTGCATTTCTCAGTCATTTAATTTTGTCTCAAGTATCAACCAGACTTCTTCCCTTACTTCCTTGGTTCAGCAGGAAGCAGATTGTCACTTCCACTGAGTCTTGCCATGGTTTTGAGAATACTGAGAAGGGAGCGCTACACGCAGAGTAACTCAGAATTTCTACCGCGCATGCCCAGGTATATCCTTGGTCCCTAACAAGGCTGGTTTGCAAGGTCGACTTTGGTGACCCACACCTGTCATCTCAGTAGTTTGAGAGGCTGTGGTGGGAGGGTTGCTCGAGCCTAGGAGTTTAAGACCAGCCTTGGCAATGTAATGAGAACTTGTCTCTACAAAAAACAAAAATGGAAAAATTATCCAGGTGTGGTGGTGCGTGCCTGAGGTTCTAGCTACTTGGGAGGCAGAGGAAGGATGATGACTTGAGCCCACGAGTTTGGGCCTCTAATAAGACATGATTGCACCACTGCACTCCAGCCTGGGAGACAAAGGGAGACCCCATCTCTGAAAAAAAAAAAGGATGTGGGAAGAGCTGGTTTGCACCCAGCCTCCTTCATGTAGCCCTTATCTGTTCCTTCCCTGGAAATGCTCCTTGAATCTCTTCCTCAGAGTTTACTAAAAAGTACTTCCGGTGTGAGAGAATAGCCTTCAGCCTCATCAGGGCTTGTTTTCCAACTTCATGCTCCAAGGATTAAATGCTCCCTAGGATGACTGACAGCAGGTACATCTATTTCCTTTAGGAGAAACCTTTTTAGCCCCAAGAAAGGTAGGTGATTTGGCCTGATGGTCTCTCAAATACAATCAACCAAAAATCAGTCAGCAAGCAACCAATGATTTATCTTGAATTCATTAGCACAAATGCTATCAATTGCCCAGTGGAGTTCAGACTTCACATCCTAGTTTATTTTAAATCTCATCACAAGAAGGATTCAAAATTGAGTAGAGTTCAACCTTACACAGCATTATATTATGCATATGTTTAAAATAATCTGAAAAATGTGTACCAAATTTTTAGTATGGTGGATTTTAGGTAGTTTTTATTTTTATTTACCTGTAACTTTTTTCACCTTTTTACAATGAATAGTCATTTTTAGCTAGCCAAATTTTTAAAAGTTACTTGAGCCCAGGAGTGTGAGGCTGCAGTGAGCTACAATTGCTACTGTACTCCAGCCTGGTGGCAGAGTGAGACCCTGCCACCAAAAAAGAAAATAAAATAATATGAGAAAGAAAAGAATTATTCTCTAGGCCTTTTGTTATTTTTTGACAGTCTTGTTCTGTCACACAGGCTAGAGTGAACTGATACAATCTCAGCTCACCACAACCTCTGCCTCCCGGATTCAAGCTATTCTCATTCCTCAGCCTCCCTAATAGCTGGGACTACCCCTATACACCACCACACGTGGCTAATTTTTGTATTTTTAGTAGAGAAAGGGTTTTGCCATGTTGGCCAGACTGATCTCCAACTCCTGATCTCAAGTGATCCCCCTGCCTCCACCTCCCAAAATGCTGGGATTACAGGCATGAGTCACTGCGCCCAGCCTCTTCTAGGCTTTTTATAGGATACTCTGAAGGGGGTTGATGCTACAAGCAATAAGGTTAAGTTAATAGTGGAGAAAGACTGGAGAGTAAGACAATATGGATAAAAAGATATTTAACAGGCAAAATTAACAGGAAGAGATGACATTATTTGGATGTAGAAATGGTAATTGGCAGGACATAGTGACTCATGCCTATAATCCCAGCACTCTGGGAAGTCGACGCAGGTGGATCACTTGAGCCCAGGAGTTCAAGACCAGCCTGGGCAACAGCATCTCTACTAAAAATGCAAAAATTATCTGGGTGCAGTGGTATATACCTGTAGTCCCAGCTACTCAGAAAACTGAAGTGGGAGGATTGCTTGGGCCCAGGAAGTCGAGGCTGCATTGAGCTGAGATCAAACCACTGCACTCCAGCCTGAGCAAACAGCAAGATCTGGAAGGAAGGAAGGAAGGAAGGAAGGAAGGAAGGAAGGAAGGAAGGAAGGGAGGGAGGGAGGGAGGGAGGGAGGGAGGAAAAAGAGACAGAGAAAGAAGGGAGGGAGAAAGGAAAAGGAAGGAGAGGAGAGGAGAAAGAGGAAAAAGGAAAGGGATAATTAATGTTAATAGATAACCCCCAGGTTCCCAGCTTAAGAACATATATGAATAGTGCTACCTTCAACTAAGGTAGCAGAGGCAGGAAGAGTGTGGTGCTAGGGAAATGATAAGTTCAATTCCAGACACGTGGAGTCTGGGTGTGCTGAACGATAGTCAAGCAGAGAACACTAGTAAGCCGGATTTGGAGCTCAGGAGAAATGTCTGAACAATGATTCAGATTAGGAAGTCATGCCTAAAGTTATAGCAGAAGTCGTGGTTGTGGATGAGGCTGCTGGAGAGAATAAAGAGAGAAAAAGAACAAGACACTTGCAGAAAGGAATTCCAAGGATCACCCACATTTAAGGCAAGAGCAGAAAACAAAGAGCTCAAGAAAAGTTTTTCCAAGAAGAACAACTCTTAGAGAATGAACTCACAGAAACAAGGGAATGATGGCAGCTGCTCTTAGCCCCTCCTCCCTATGCCTCAGTGCTACTCCCGGAGCTTCACCCATATCACCTGTAGCCATTCAGCAACCCTACAGGGAGGGTATTCCTGTCTCCTCTTGTAGAGGAGGAAACTGACATTTGTAGAGCACAAGAAATTTTCCCAGGATCACGCAGATATTAAGGAATAAAGAAAGGTTCCAAATTCAGCCTTGCTGACTCCAAAGTCTGTGCTCTTTTCTTTCATCATCATGTGGCTTTATTAGAATGTAGTGGAAATTGCTGTATCTGTTAACAGGGCTACATCCAGGTGAAATCTATACTCTTGGCTTCCTTGACACAGTTCTTCAAACAACAGAACTTACGGGTGGTGGGGTCTTTTTAGCACAGCCATGCTATTGTTAAAATAGTGAAACAGCACAGCTTTCTGAATATTTTACTTCCATCCCTCCCCAACTACCCTGGCCCCCCTTCCCAGGAGCCCCCTCCTCATGATCCAGCAATCTTCTCTAGCACTAAGGCCAATGCCTTGTTCTGTTTGGTTGGCACCCATGCCCTTCAGGTTGTTAAATATATTGTATATTACCACCACAAATAACTGAGTGAGCTAGTTACACCTTTTACATCATCGTAATATATACAGTAAGCACTCATAGGAAACACTTATGATCTCCTTAATACTTGATGAAATTCTGTATTTTGAAGAGACAGCTTTTCTTTCTTACTTAAAAAGACTAGTGAAAAAATTAAATTATAAACAGTCATTTTAGAGATCAGTATTCATCACTTAAACAGCCAAAAGAAGAAGAGGCCTTTTGATGGGTCAAATAATCCAAGGACATTCCATCTGAACTAAATGGTGATGAATGTTTGCAAATGGATTAAGAGAGCACCAACCAGAAATCACACAATTATGAAGCTTTAAAAAGGTAAGATTTTTAGGCATAGTCATCACAGATATTTTATAGACAGTGAAAAAAATCAGTAAAATATTATGCTGAAAATAAATATAGATCATGGTTTCTTTTTTTTTTGAGACGGAGTTTCGCTGTTGTTACCCAGACTGGAGTGCAATGACACGATCTCGGCTCACCACAACCTCCGCCTCCTGGGTTCAAGCAATTCTCCTGCCTCAGCCTCCCGAGTAGCTGGGACTACAGGTGCACACCACCATGCCCAGCTAATTTTTGTATTTTAAGTAGAGACGGGGTTTCACCTTGTTGACCAGGATGGTCTCAATCTCTTGACCTCGTGATCCACCTGCCTCGGCCTCCCAAAGTGCTGGGATTATAGGCATGAGCCACTGCACCCGGCTATAGTTTCTTAAGCAGTCACTTAATTTCTCTGT